CTTCAATATGCAATCTCTCTGCAAGAAAATTATCAACAGAACTGCGTGCCCTCAAAATCCATATGCTGAAGGCTTAATCCCAATGTGTCTCTACTTGGAGATACAGTAGTAATTCAGGTTAAATGAGGTCCTATTCTAATAGTGTATGTAAAGAACTCAAATAAAAAAGAAGGGGATGTAATGACTTTTTTTTCAAAGTGAATGTTCAACACACCTTCAGGTGTTCTAAAATTGCCAAGAAAGGTAGTGGCATAAAGACAAATGTCAAAAAACTTCCTTTAGGAGCTACATTTAGCCTATTGAGCCAAGGCAGTCAACAAGAAATAAAATAAATGTAAACTTATAAAGGGTGCAAGTGAGAAAACAACATTAAATGATAGCATTATAATTAAAAAAATAATAATCCATTACAACCCAAATAGTCAATAACACACCATATCTATAAATCATCCCATTACAGAATGTTTAAAAGATGCATTTATCACAATTGTTAATAGACTATAAGTCACTGTCATATTCATCTCAGAAGAACTAGAATAATCCCCTAGGTAAAAGTTTAAAACTACCCTGAGCCTCTTAGGTTTTTATAATAGCCACTTAATGCACAAATCTGAATTCAAAAAGCTTAGAGTGGGTTAACTAGAGCATAGACCAATAATGTGAAATTCACAATTGCACAGGTAATCTGTGAGAGTCCTCCAAAATGACCTTAAGAATAACTGATCATTACAGAAGGAATAAATCTGTAATACTATCATTAAATATTTTATATATTAGTAAAAGTTGCAATTTCTACTTTTTCACTTATGAAAAACAAAGTATAAATGAATGAATTTTTTGACCCTGTAAAGTGTATCAAGCAGCTAGATACATACCCTACAGATTAAATTTTAATTATTTAGGTGCTAATAATAATTTTGCAAATATTGAAATAATTCACCTGTTTTTTTCATAGAGCTAGCTAAGAAAAAAACCTGAATTTTAGGGTTGCTAAGCATTTTTCTTCTATAATATGAACTGTGAAATTTTCTTCTTCAAGATAAAAAAGACGTAAGTTTATTTTTTGTATTCAGTATAGCAAACATTTGCGTGCTACTGTTCTTTACACTATTCTGCTTAAATATAGTTTTGACATTAAAGTCTATAAAATAATGTTTCCATTTCTAATGTCTATGTACCTCCAGAGAGAAAAAAAATGAAGATTTTTTTATTTTTTATAAGAAATTCAAGGAAGGTTGGAAATGAAATGTTTATAGTTCATCCCTTTTATAAGATAAACTTCCATCAAAGCCCAGCTGTGCATACCATTCCCCTCCCATAACTTCTAATTCTTTATTTTCCCCCTCCTGCAAACATTCAGAGGCACTACATTTAAAAGAAAAGCCTTCGCAACCTGTGCCAAGTATAAAATGGTTGCATGAATGAAAAAAACCATTAAACTGTGGAGCCAGAGAAGAAAGGTATCATCATTAGAGACTTTAAGATACTGGTTATTTGCTGTATCAGGATGCTCCTGAGAAGGATCACACCGCATGGCCATGACAGCAAATGCTACCTGGAATTGCTCTCTGCTCGGACAGCTTCAAAGGGCCGGGGGGGGGGGGGGCAGGGAGAGGGAGAGGGAAAAGAAGAAGTAGAAGGAAGAAAGAGGGAACAAAGAAAGAAGAAAGAAAGCAGCACCAGCAGCAGCAGCTGCTGAGGCCTCAAGCCTGGCCTGGTTCTGACCTGGCCCTCAAGAGACAGGAGTTAAATAAAGCACCCTGAGGTTCATTGGCCCCATACCCTGACAAGTCCAGCTCTCCACAGAGCAGGAAAGAAATCAAGAGCACCCAAGCAAGATTACAGACATCCCAAGTAATATCCCAAGCAAGATTAATGAACCTATGGCATGCATGTTATTGTGCTCTTTTAAGAAAGAAGATGTTAACATGGGGTTGTTTTTTTCTAAACTAAAACCTCAATATTCAGGTTTGATTGCAGTGTTGACACTTTGTGATAAATAAGTGGGCTCTGGGTTGTAGTTTGGCACTCGTCTCTAAAAGGTTCGCCATCAGTGACCTAGAATGTCAGTTCTGTCAGATAAATTATAAGAAAGGCTGGCAGGCTATAGGCCATACAAATTAGAAAGAAGGTGGAAGGAAAGATCTATGACTAACTAGGGAGAGCCCTCATATGAGGAAAACACTTCCAACTTCCTATTCATTTAAACAGCTTTATAAGTTGTTTAATAAATAATTATGTTAAAATCATTGTCCACAAAAAATATTACTTGATATACGAAGAAATCCACGAAATATCATTTGTAGAAGTCATTATTTAAGGAAAAACTCAGATTCTATAATCCATAGTTCTATTTAAAAAGTTGTAACTTTAAAATCATGCAATTGTTATTTGCAATACAAAGCAGGACCACAAAAAAAAATAGTGACATCCAAAATATTTTAATTTACTTGCTCATTTTATGATCTGATTATCAAATGAGCATAGTCTTTATTTACTACCATAATCAAAGAAAAAAAGGTTAAATCTAGCCTAAAAATCACATGAAAACAGTTTTGCAATAAGCTAGTACTACATCATTTACTACTAATTTTAATGTTACTTCAATTCTAATTTTCAAAAACTGAGTCATAATAATCTTTCATATGATGCAAAGCTTATATTTACAACTGAATGATTTTAAAACATACTATTCTGTCATATTAACTATTTTAAATTAAAGGCATTCTGTTCAAATATTGAGAAACAGCAGGTGCAAAAACATTACCCTGACCATTGTCTTGTTCTTCAAAAGCAAATGAAAATCCTATATGAATGCAATAACAACCTATCTGCAAGAACAGAGTGGAAATGGGAGAGAGCTTCAGAAATCTGTACAAGGGCCGGGTATTTAGCTCCGTGGTTCTGCTGCCTGCTCTGCAAGCACAAGGACCGGAGTTCAATTCCCAGTACCAAAAAAAAAAAAAAAAAAAAAGAAAGAAAGAAAGAAAGAAATCTGTACAGACCTTGTTAAAATAACTTGTACATATATGTGTGTGAGTGGTACCGGAGACTGAAACAAGGCCATCTGCACTGAGCTACATCCCCAGCCTTTTTGCTAAAATTTAGGGTCTCCCTAAATTGCTAAATTGCCTAGGCTGAGCTCAAACGTATGAACCTTCTGCCTCAGTCTCCCAGAATAATTTACCTGTTAACTCCTGCCTCCCCAAACACGCATAATTTACTTTTTCACAACTTGCTACTCTTTGTCCAATTAATTATGTAAGTGTTAGACTCTTGTTTCTGTAGATCTTCATCACCTTATGGGGATTCTAGTTCCAGGTAAAACTTGTATTAACTCATCATAATAATGTGTACACTTTCTTCCTGTTAATCTATCATATCAATTTAATCCTCAGACCTCGACAGAACCCTCAGAGGATGGAGGTGTCGTTTTGCAACTCCCATTTATGCAACAAATTGAGCACCAAAAGATCCTCTCTAAATTCATGACAAATAGCACATACTGCCTCACAGTATACCCTTCTCACATCTGGAAAGTTAGTAATCCAGCTTGGCCTTGAACTTACCATGTAGCTCAGACTGGCCTCAAACTCACATTCCTCCTGCCTCAGCCTCCTGAGAGAAGCAGATTTTAAAGCTAAAAGGCTGCACAACATTAATAACCTATAATCCTAAGAAATAATCCAATTATTTGATATGCACTCAACTTTTTAAAAATACTTATTAAATAAGTGGTTAAGAAAGTAGATTCTAGAGTCAAATGTAGTAGAATGAAATCCCAATTAGCCTAAGACTTAAGTGATGAATAAAATAGTGTAAACATTACCTACTTTATATGGCTCCTTTGAGGATTAGATAGCCCACCCAAAATTATAAAACAAACTAGTGCCCTAGTGCCGAAAATTTAATAAATGGCACTAATACTACTGATTCTTAGTAAATACTAGACTTTGCCATTGAGATTAGAGATGTCAACATAAAGAGAAATTCATTAAGGTCTCTGTCCTCAGAGTTTATGTTCTAACAGATACTTAAACTTTAACAAACCCCTAAATTGCCATGTTTTCTCTTGCAAATGGTAAACTGCTACCTACTCTCTGGCAAACACAACTTGCACTTCAATCACCAAAGGTTCCTAACTAAGGGCGAGACCATCAGTGGCCAGAGATGCAGGCTAAAGAGAATGATGCAGAAATGTCAACTTGCACCCTGTACAGGAAGTCTGTACAGTACTGTGGTAACCATCAAACGTGAATAGCCTCATACCTCCTAACAGAAAGATAAGTGTTAGCTTTTAGTGGAAAAACTAATACCTATCCCCAATCCTGAAGAAAACCACAGCTATTTTGGGTTTAACTTTGAGAAATGGATGACGGTGCTCTCTTTCTACTGTAAATCATCATCTCTCACACTGCTCAGCTATGTCAGGCTATTAGGGACCTACCATTACTGGCAGGACCAGCCCCTCCTTGGGGTTCCAGAGTTCTGCTTTTCTATTGTCTCATACCATCTTCTTACATCTGTCTTCTACATTAGACTGCAAGCACTTCCATTCTGATTTACATCCTTCCCATTTAGCACAATGACTTGCACCAAATATATATTGCCAAGCATCGTGCCCAGCTTGCAAAAATAGAAACACTGAAAACATGTTCCCTGCAGAACAACTCAACTCAAACATGATGACTGCAGTCATGAAATGCCACAATACCAGACATGGAGGGAAGATGTGGAAAGGAACATCCAGACAGAATTAATGGAAGAGATGTTCCCCAAATTAAATGGGAGCGAGCTCAGAAGTCCCAGGCGCTTATAAGCTAGAAACACACTGGGAAAATAAGGTACAACACAAATAATGACTGAGAGAAAATCTGAATAGAGAAGAAAAGGTTGGTTGAATAGGTAAATACATACATGTCAAAGTTAGAAAGGAAGACTGAAAAAATAATTAAATGACTCCAAGCTGAGTACTTACATCTTATTGTAAAACTTCTTACCTCCCTGAAATTCCTCTTGTTGCCCCTGGAATATCTGGAACAGGTCGGTGTCTCAGCAGAAAAGATCGAGATGGCCTTGAAACTAGCTTGCTACGACTTCTCATAGGTGACAGGACTGGTGATGACGGAACATACAAATCATTTACAACCATTTCTCCTTGAAACTGAAACAACGGGGATGGTAGTGATCTTTCTAATAAGCCATTAGTTCCGTTTCCAGACTGTGCTCCTGATGTTGAACAGTCCAGGGAAGAAAGGCATTCAGGGTCTGCATTCGGAAGGATGCTCAAGTTTTCTGATAACAAATCAACTTTTTCTGTTTGCTGTTCTTTAGTTGTACAATCCATAGTCTTCTTTATAGCCAAAGATTCTACTTTACCAGATGATAAATCGTGAGAATCGAAATTCAAGTGTGATTCTTCTGAAATGGGAAAGTCATGTTCAGAAAGAGAGAACTTATCATCTGATTGAAAAGACAGGCTCTTTGCCATATGAATGTCATTTTGATCTAGATTTTTTACAACTGTCTCCAACTCTGTTGAGCTATGTGTCTGAAAACTTCCAGAATCAGAAAGTTCTATGCAGGTGTTCTGATGAGAAGATGGAGCATGGCGATCCTTTGAAGTGTCATCACTCTTTGTTTTATGAACATTTGCATATATTGGGATTTCTTGCATTTTTGACAAGATCATCTGCAATTTTTTTAGTATCCTCCTACGGTGTCCTGTAGGTGATATTCCAATTTCATGTAGCACACTATCATTTATTCTTGCACAGTCCGTCACAGTATAAAAACCAAACTCTTCAAAATGTAAGAGGTACTGCTCCAAATTAATGCTCATTAAGAAATCTTTGATATCAATATTCACTTCACTGACTGAGGACATAATGGTTTCATTACTAAGCTAAGTTATAAAAAGCAGCACAATGAGACTGATATATAAGAGGATGCACTTCTCTACTGGTTTTTGCTTTATCACTGGAAAAGTTATCTTCTCAAAATGCTATTTTCTCCACATAGAATGTTTCATGTGCTTAAACCTTGAAAAAAATAAAAATAAGTTATCAGACAGATAGATAGATGTGTATGTTCCAAGGGACTGAACCCAAAATATTGCAAATGCTAAGAACACACTCTACCATTAAGCTATACCTCCAGTACATGACATTTTAATTAGTAAAACCTAGTTTTATTTAAACTTTTCCTGAAAAAACACAACAATAATTAGGACAACACTTTTCACTCACTGACTTCCAAACTGGCACGTTGCTTTCGTACACACCAGGAAGTTGATTTCTTGGGATAACATGAAAAAGGTACACAACAGAAATATTATGGCAGCATCAAACCATAATTTTCAAAATGCTAAAAAAATACTTTCTCATAGATATAGAATGAAAATGTGTCAAACATTTTGTTCATCTCATTAACTGAAAAGGGAACCAGTAAGTAAGATGGTAGGGCTGGTTCCAAGAGCATATGTGTCTGTCACAAAGACTTTTTTTTTTAAAGCATTACAATAAGTTAGCTATGTAAGATTCTTTTTAAACTGGTTAATGTTCTTTAGGGCAACAAAATGATACTATTGGGGATATCTTTTCTACAGGACAAATATTTACAAACTAACAGATAACTTCCCATTGTCTGGGTTCTAATCAAATAGTAGCCAAGTCAGGCATTGGCATTAGAATTAAAATTAAATATTCATAGGCTGGGCTTGTTAAATATAGCCTCACAAAACACTCATACCTTTGAGACTCTTAAAAAACAGGTTGAACATATTTTTCAGGTCAATAATTTTCATTGCAACAATGCAAGTACTTATATATTTAAACAATATGTAAGTCAATTCTTAAATATGTTAGATAACAAGAAGCTAATATGAAAGTAAAAGGTAAAAGTTCAAAGTTCACATTTTCCTCCAATGTACACAGCAGATTTGATACCAGACATGGGATTTCTGACTTGGTGTCAACAGAAAGGAAAGTCCAGCCAGAAAGTAAAAGCTTACGCTGAAAAGTTTTAATGGAAAAGGAAGAAAGCCAGGCGGAACTTCAGCTTGAGAAAAAGAAAAACTAAAGAGAAGCAGGGCTGAGAGAGAAAAAAAAAAATCATGCTGGCCAGTTAACAAAGAAAGGAGCAAGCTTTTTATTCCTGGAGGAGTAGGCTAAAGTCTGGGAGTATTTCATCTGTTCTTAGCAGTTTCAAAAGGTGTCTTCTTTGTTGTGCAAACATCCTGGCCTTGAGGAATGGGTAGTCAAGTTATCCCAGGAACTGTTACAGAGATCCCTTCTACTGGCAGGCAGCCCCATGATGCATAAACATTCCTGACTTGTGATAAGGATGGGACATTGTAGCTGCTAAAAGAATCATGGGTGGGATTCGAGAAATAGGCAGTGCTTTTGTTTGGCAGACTGAGGTATGGATAGGGAAGAACACATATTATACTTTCAACAGCCCCTGAGTTGAGGCCCAAGGAGTATATCTACCATCTTTCCAGAAGGAGTCCCCTCACTGTCTCAGATTCAGATAGCCTCTTTTTTCCCAAACCACATAACCAGATTTTAAAACAGAGTCCATTTATCTCAGGGCTGGTTATTTGGGTGTGTGCAGTTTATGACAATTCATATCTATAAATTTCTACATATCATGCTTCAATAAAGACCGTATTTAACCACACAAGCTTAAATATCACATGGTTCTTCTTATATGAGAAATCCCAAGTAAAAATAAAGAGCAAAATAAAAGACAGATAATAGGAAACAGGGAGATAGATCTTTTGCAAATGGCAAGGGGAACAAGAGAGGAAAGTGAGGAGAGAGAAAAAGTAAAAGGAATTACAATGTGTTATGTACATGTATCAACTCCCTATGATGAATATAATTATTATGTACTGCAAACACGTACTAACAAAAATAACAAAAATTTAAGAAAAAGAGAAAAGTTGATAGGTCTCCCACTACCTCAGTGGCTATTATGTATAGTAGCTGCCCTCTTCCTAGTGTGCCTTGCCCCCTCCCCTGTGTGAGGTCATGCCAAGATGGTTGCTCCCACCAAAGAACAAACCTTTCTTCCCAGCATGCTCCTGTTCCCACCTAGAGAGTAACCTAATACTCACTCACCTCCTACCACCTAGTGACATCACCAGCTCCTCCATTCCCTAGTCACTACCTCACTCAACCCCGCCTCAGCTCCTACAAACCCCACCCCAGTCTCTATGAAAGGCACTCCCTGCCCCTGCCAAATTGCCTTTGTCTCTCCTTTTGTTCTGAGACAGCCTGGCAGATTTGTTCCCAGAATAAAGGCTTGTTGTGGCCTAGTCAGGTCTTGGTTTTCAGCCTTTTTACCTGACAAAAGTATAGAATGTGCACAAAATAAGATAAGCAAGGTAAGCATGTCTGAGCAAGCTTTGATGCATTGCTTCTGGAAATCACATTGAAAAAGCTCTCCACGAGGCGCAAAGTGTTACATGCCACTTGTTCGTAAGCTTGTGCCTAGCTATTTAAAAAATACTGGCAAACACTGAAAAGCTGGCATAGTATCAGAAGGAAAACACGCATCTTCCCCAGATCTTACTGCAGGAGCAGTAAAAATACAAAGGAGAGGAAAGGCTGAAAATGCCAGTCAGGAATGTCAGGAAGGTACTTTTGTTTCACACCTAAGATAGGAAAATGTTTATAAAATAAAAAAAAAAGTTACCCTCAACATCAAATTCAAACCACCTTACTTTGTGTTGTCTTTTTTTGGCACGTCATAAAATGGAAATCACTATTGTAAATAGTAAAATGAGTGGATATATAATTTATTTCTTTTAGCAATGATAAATATGATCAACTGGTCAATAATTTAAGAGGATTAGAAGCACTTTCCTTTTGGGTAGAATAAATTCTAAAAAGTCACAGTCTTCCTTACCAAATTTCACAAAAATTTTATTGGAACAAAAGCAATTTCCACAAAGTATACCCATCAAGAAACCTCCAGGTACCAAAACCACCCAGTCACCCCAATCCAAAGACCTGAGGGGATTCCCAACCCCACCCATATCGCATCTGCCACATTCAAAGAACCTGGCAAGTTACTGATTTTATTCCTTGCTATGGACAGAACTGTGCCCCGCTCCCATTCATGTGCTGAAGCCCCAGTGAAAGGACTGTATTTGGAGACAGGGTTCTGGGAAGTAATTAACGTTAAATGAGGCTGTAAGGGTGGAACCCTGACACACAGAGTTGCCTCCCTCTTTCCCTCCCTACCCCACTGCTGTGGAAGGCCAGGAGGAGAAGGCAGCGCTCTGCAAGCCCAGAGGGAAGAGTGTCCTTACCGAGAAGCCACTCGGCTTGCTGGCCTCCAGAACTGTGAGATGTACATTTCTGCTGTTTAGGCCACACAGTCTGTGGTACGGTATTACTATGACTGTCTTACTCACTTTCCTCTTCACTTGGGACAAAATATTACCTGATACACACAATTTGAAGAAGGAAAGGTTTATTTTGGCTCACATTTCATTCCTAGGTCAGCTAGCTCTGAGGAAACAGCATGGAAGTGGGGCATGGTAGAGGTGAGCTGCTCCAGTCATGGCAGCCAGGAAGCAGACTGGAAAGGCAGGAACCAGGGAGTGAAATACACCTTAGGAAGTAATGCTCCTGGTGACTTGCCTCATCCAACCAGGCCTGGCCTCCTAACAGCACATTTAGCTATAGTGTCCTCGTGGTCTAATCCTCTTCCAAAAGCCTATGAACACATGAGGCCCTTGGGAGCAATCTGGATATAACTAAAAACAGTAACTGACCTAATACCCCATCCTCACTGGCTTTGCTGTGGTGTACAGCCTCACTATATCTCTTGCCTGGATTACTAATACAGTTTCTGAACAACTTTGCCCACACTCCATGTATCAATGAACAATTAAAAGTCCAAATTTGGCATGTCACTGTACATTCTCAACAGGGTGAAGTCTATCTTCCTTACAGATCCATGCAATTGTCTGGTCCCTTCTATTAATACTAGTAGGTACTATTGATGCAAACAGCAAATATGCATGAAATCCCAAGTACCATATATAATTCCTGCAAGATAGGAATTCCTAAGATTTGTTTGAAAAAAAAAAAGGGTTCCTAGGGCTAACTCCAGTCTCATATTTGACCTATGTCAAACAGTCTATCAACATCCTTCACTCACTTTAGTTGATTACTTTCATCCTCCTGAGACAAGCTATTTAATAGTTTCATAGTTTTTACATATGTATATCTGCTTTTCTATGGACCATTTATAATCTGAAGAAGCAGGTGTTACCTCCACTATGAAGTCATCATGTTGATCCTTTAAAATAGAGCACAACAATCCTTTCTATTAACATCCATTAACTAGCATCCTAGAACTTTCCAAAGTATTTGGAACATGTTTAAGAGATGGAGAAAGGTTGGTAGGGATGATAGAAATGTTTGAGGACCATATATTGCTAGTTGCGTGCATTTGTATTTGTGTTTAAATACACGAAGTCTTTTCCCTTCTTTGGAGTCTAAACCTACACCTGTATTTTGTGGGTGACTGAATCGAGGATAATTATACTGAGTACTTTACACAAAACTATCTCTCTATAACCATTTAACATGCTGAATATGGCCAACGCCCTGGGTTTTTTTTTTTAATAAGGGGAAAAGGCTCCCCTCCCATAGGCCCTGGAAGCCTCTCAGCACTTTTATGCCAGCTGTTGTTCAAACATCCGATTTAACTGTCTGACCCCCAAGAGATGAACATCTAAGATCTAGTTTTTTCCTTAGAGGATCGAGCACTGAAGCACATCATTAGATACAAAGAGATGAGCACATTTAACTCTATAAAATTATAACACATGAGGAGGGCACAGTGGTGCCTACCTGTAATCCCAGCTACTTGGGAGGCTGAGGACCAATAATCACAAGTTCAAAGGCAGCCTCACTCAGCAACTTAGGCAGACTTGGTCTCAAAAAAGGGAGGGGGAGGGGTGTGGGACACATCCCTGGTGCTAGAGTACTTGCCTAGCAGGCATGAGGCTTTAGATTCA